CAATGTTCTGTCGCCTGGTTTTTTCTCCACTTTCTCCCCCCCCCCCTTCTCCCTTTTGCTCATTCCTCTGGGCTTGTGACTCTTTCTACAGCCTTTCTGCTGCTACTCCGTGGCTCCTTCTTACCGCTGTCAACCACACCCCTGATCTTATGGTAGGAAAGATCTAACACCTATCCTTCTCGGATATGGGCGAAAAATCTCGGAGGTCCCATGAGCAAGGTACACAAGTTAAAGATCCCTTGGTAGTCCTAAAATCGATAAGAGTAGGCTTCGGCCGCCATCTGGGCAAAATTCAAAATCTCTACCAAATTGAAAATGTTTAAAATGTGTCCCGCGCGCACTTAATATGACCTTATGCAGTTGCGAGCGCCTTAAAACGCTTACCAAAAACAGCAACAAAAAGAACCCAGGTCTTCTGTATGCGACGGCGAAGCTGCACCTCAGACATCGATACTCCGAGTGTGTAATACTGGAAATTAGAAAACTAAAAAACTAAACTAAACCATCACAAAAGTATGGTGTTTGAATTGATAAAACATCGGTAAAAAATCTTTAGAAAATTTGACAGTTTTTTTTTACCTGGAGTAAAAATTGCAAAAGTTTTATTTTATCATACTTTGTGAGTATACCTTGACACGTGAATCTACCTTCTGCACTCTCTCAGCCGCAGACCGGAGAGGGAAATATAACGACCTCCACTTGTTAGTACTAATATTACATGGTGTAGTCTGGCCGTTCAGGCTTCTCTCAGCTAGTTTTAGTAAGGTTTTACGACGCTCGCAGCTGCAATAAGGTCATATGAGCGTCAAGTGGTGGATGTCAGCAGAGACATTCCAATGGGGAATCAGGCTTACCTGCTCATCTCTCAAGCATCAACAGCACACAGTCTGCTTCGACTTTCGAGGCACCACGGAAATGGCAATTCACAAGAGAGTGACAAATACACAAAAGAAGTTGAGGAAAAACGACGATAGTAAAGATGAGGAAAGAAAAAGCAGCTGTTCCCCCTATATTGTTTCGGCACAGTATGAGCATGACATGGATACATCAGCCCATTCACAAGTCTACTGTACATAAGAACATGTTAATACATATATTCCCCCTTTGGTAATGGCCTTAAGACAACTTCAGTCAGTAGCATTTCCCTGGGGGGGTGGGGGTGGGAGGGAGGGGGTAGGCTCTTCCCAAGAGATCTTCTAACAACAAACCATTGAAGACGCCTCTGTCCGAACAATAGGAGAGAACTTTGACCCTTGCCCTTACTTCTTGGACATTACCGATGACAGGATGGCTTACCGCGAAGACAAAAAAATCCTGATATTCATTTTGAATCCGTTACCTTGTGTATAAACTAACACCCGGAACAAAAAAGAGTCTATGGTGTCATGAAATACCTACTACTAGCTTTTGAAAAAGGTCAGCGCGTTTCTTTGTATTTTATTAGGGGGGGGGGGGAGGTATCTTCTTTAACTTTCTCGTTTTGCTTGAAAATGTTAAGTTGTTAGGAATAACAAATTTAGTCAACAGTAATAATTAATTGGAATATCTAAAGACAGTTTCAATAAATGAGTCATGTCCTGGAAAAGAGAAACTTCTCACTGACAACACACATAAAGGTTTTAAAAGGCGATGCGTCATCAACCCATAAGGTGTGAATGTTGGAAATTATGTAAGATAATTAAAATCAACTATAGACAACAGAAACGTAATTTATTAGGAGACTGTTGAGATTTTTTTATGGAAGGGAAAGAAATCAAATGAAGAAGCGCCGAAATAAGCCCCGGTGGTAAAGCCAATTTGGAAGGGACAAATACAGTTCATGGGATATTTGGAATCAACTCAAAGGAACATCTTGCTCTCACTTGATAAATGGAAGGCAAAAGTTACAGAGGCAGAGGTAGACCAAAAATAATTTACCGAGAGAACGTAAACAGATGTATGACGAAAAGAGACTAGGATAGTCTGTTTTTAGTGCATCGGGGCAGAGAAGAAAATGGAGAACTATACTATTATTACCATGATCGCCCATGTCTATTTCAGATATGTCGCTTAAAAATGATAACGGTCAATTATTAGTGGCGCCGTCCTTGATTTGTTGAAGGAAGGATATTACATACTCAGAACCAAAATTCATTGTAGACCATGGGAACATTTTGACTTTAATCTATCTATCTTAATAAATTTGTTCAGAGATGAAAAAGTCTAGAAACATTTGGGATTAATTAATTTCGCCCAAAGCTAGCCACGTGTGATGCACAGACAAGAGAGACGTCCACCGTGAAAAAGCCACGGTCGCTTGCTCTGCTGACTAAACCAAGTTTTTTTCTTTCCATGTTTTGTCAGTCTGTAATAAAAGAAAACCACAAAGGCGAAGTAGGCAGTAGCAGTAGTCACTTGGTGTAAAGATAATACAAACAGATATAAAAGGGGAGCAAGACATGAGATCTATCATTGCCACCTTCCAATCAGCAACATATACTGTAGTAATGTTGCTGGTGATAATAAAACCCAAATGAAAACTGCACTGCGGGCGCTTCATTTAAGATAATAGACGGCACAGGGTTGTTGAATGAGGGTCAATAATAAATTTATTAAATTTCCGCTCTTGATCCAAATTTTTTAAAGCCACAATTGTGACGCCGCCATGAGTGAACTTTGAAAGAGAAAGATTACTTCCGAATAATACTTCAAAGAATTAATTGCGCGATTCAAGTAATACACCGCGGTGGAGGAAGGGGTTGTCCTCAAGAATGTCAGCAACGTGCGCAGTGTCCGGCCCAGCACGGTGTTGACAGTTGACAGCACTATCCGTGGTGTGTATGGGCAAAAACCAGTGCCCTGTGCCACCTGCACCCAAGTCATCAGAACTCGTAACCCTTGCCTCGTTCATTCGAAATAGACGCCGTGCACAGAGATCACACAGACGAAGGTCTTCGCGACAACCTTGTACACTGCATAGTTGTCTGTGGCCGGGCTCCACAGGACGCGGTCAGCTACCATCATACCCTGACCCGTCAACTGAATCATGGTCACGTGACATACGAACCGGTACCTGGGGCAGTCCAACCTCTTGATCTGACGTAGGTTAGGATAGGGGAAAAAAAAGGGGGGGGGGAGGGGGGAATAAGAACAAACAAAAAGAAAAAACTAAATACGAATGTCCAAGAAATGTACGTGGATGATAATGATGATGACTCTGATGATGGTGGAGGACTCCATTGCACATTTGTGGGAAACTGGAAACACAAAAGGACGAGACAAAAACAAAACCACATTTCAACATAAAATCATACTGTAACTGAGCTTACTATTGTTTAAAAATCTGAGGTGTTAAACATAAGGTATATAACATAACATATAATCTACCCCAACACTGTCCATCTTACCTTTTTCATCACATACGAGGCAATCAATGTGGTTATGTTTGAGACATTCTGTCTGTTGTACTGGTAGTTTTCCAAGATTCGGTCTGCAACGTTCTCGATCATCCGCCTTGCCTGTAGAGACCAGAGCGACAGTCGGTTCTATACCACATGTATTACTATGTCGAGGGTTTGGTGGTGGCGTTCAGTTTAACTTTAAGTTGATGATTCCGATGTTGAAAGTGATCGTTGATGTTTACTTTTTTTTTTATTGTTGTCATTGTCTATGTTGTTGATACAGTTGTTACAGTTGTTACTGTTGTACTTGTTTTTGTCGTTGTAGATGATGATGATGATGATGATGATGATGATGATGATGATGATGATGATGATGATGATGATGAAGATGATGATGATGATGATGATGATGATGATGATGATGATGATGATGATGATGATTTTTATCTTTACTTTTTGTCTGTGAATTAAAAAAGACTCCCTACCTACTCTGCTTTTTAAACGATGATGAATGATGATGACAATAAACTGCACAACATTAGCTGTGTCTTCTATAGGACCTGGAATCGCACTTCCTTTGTCCCAATAGGTGTTGAGTGACGAAAAAAAAAAACAATACAAAAAAACATGATCAAATACGTGAATACTTTAATCACACCACAAAAACAAACCCCTCCCTCACCCCAAAAAGACGAACGAAACAATCACTTAAAATGCTCCCCTCCCACCTTTTTAACGCGCGTGCGCGCACACAAAACACACACACACACACACACACACACACACACACACACACACACACACACA